GGGACAATCCCGTCACAGAGGTCGTAGCTAGGGAAGGGGCCGCATTTGGTCGATAAGGGACCCCCTTCAGGTAAAGGATGTGAGAAATCATTATCGATCACACTCGACAGACGTGTGCGTCAGTAGACGAGTTGAACGAGTTCAGTGTTGGGGCGAGGCCGTAAGACAGTTGAGGGGGACAGATGAGTGGCGAATTGAGCTGAGTGGTACCGTAACCTAGGCCGTTGTTGGAGGCCCTCCCTCTGCAAGCGTGGATGTGAAAGCGTCTCTCGGAGTGTGAAATTATTTTTTCGCGTTTTATTTTATCGTGGCCCTTATCCCTGTCGTTCGAGCTCTCTGAGAAACGGAGAAGCCCACTGGGAGAACACTGCCTGTTCGAGAGAGCACAGACAGGGGGAAAAAGACGTGGCTCAGTTTCTAGGCCCGTGAACCACCTGGGCGCCAAGCCTGGAGCCATCTTTAGGGTGCAACTGATTAAACAGTGTTAAACACATCTTTTCAGCGCTTTCATCGCCTGTAAAGGACAATGCGCCAAATTGTCGTACGCGACCAATTTGACCGGAGTCCCACACGTACTCGATCTTTACACATGTGACCCAGCCAGTGTATGCAGTGGACTCGGTATGTTCATATTTTCTAGTCGAAAGAACTGCTCTATAGTTGCCCATGACCACGCCCACAACGTCTTACACCCTTATTTCAGGACTCTCCAACAGTTGCGCCTCAATTGACGGCACCAATGTCTCTGGTTGCTGTTGCACTTATGACGGTTGCGTGACACCATCGAGCAACCCCACCGCTCCTACCGGATCCAGCGCCGTGCCCACGATCTTCATGATCTTCATCGCTGCTGTATATACACTTCTCAGGCAGTAGAGTTTTGTTAGCGTTGGCATAGTTCTATACATATTTTCTATGACTTTTGTTGTTATTCTATGAATCAATAAAATATTAAAACCTTAGGAGATTTGCATGCATGTTAAACCAATTGTCAACGAGCCTTACTTCCCTTGAAAAACCATGTCAAATTTCACAATGTCCTCCTCAACCAACCCAACGAGTACTATCTTTGTGAGAGGGCACAGACGAACAGAGCAGTCCGCATGGCGGAGCTGTATGGCGTTTAGAATGGTGGGCGGTCGACCGTAAATAAGATCAAGTAATTACGAGCCTCTAACTTTCTAGCCACGCGCGTTCGAGTGAGGAAGGTGATAGACTTCTGGGGCTGTCGACCTGACTTACAGAAGGAAAAAAATCCCAATCCCCAGGAAACTTAGAAATCTTACGGTGTGGCGTGCCTATCATTTTTCAATGACTATCGTTCGTTTCTAGAGACACACCGACGAACCAGAGCAAGCCCATGGTGGCGGGCGTAATGTCCGCACTGATGATTGGGGGGGGGAGGGAGACGATCAGTAAGATCAAGTAGTCATGAGCCTCTAGCTTGCTCCTCATGCATTTACGAGTGGAGAGAGGGCACAGTTCTGCGGATGATGACCTGCCACCCTTCTACAAGCAAAAGATCCCATCTCTTGGCAAACTTAGGAAATCGTTCGATGCGCCTCTCCAGTTACTCAACCGGCAATCAAGTTCGCAATGTGGTGCTGTAAATTAGTGAGAGGACAAGAGTATCTATTATCATGTATGGGGGACGCAGCCATAATCGAATGGTGAGTGGGCGGAGACGGTCAGTGTCAGTAAAACAAAATAGGCAATCAGTAGCCTCCTCACGAGCTCTCGAGTGGTGAAGGTGGCTCCTCACAGAGCCTTACCTACCACTCCTAACCTTACGGGGCCTTACCTACCACTTACCTGCCACTACTATACAAGGAAAAGCATTATAAACCTTCCCATCCCGCTCGCTGAGAATTCATAACCCTGCCCTGGGAGCAGCCACATGCCGGCGTAGCACCTTCTCTTCGTCTGCACCTTCTCAACGAGACAGTGGCCACTTTCTAACAGAGGGTTGGCCTCATGAGAGCATAGAGCATCAAAGAGAATCGCCCTGACTACCCCCCCCCTTGGTACCCTTTACCTTTCTTAGCACCCGTTAGTTTGAGGCTCGTGACTTTGTAAGATGCATGGTTCATCAACCTCATTTCATTACTGACATTACTGCACGAATATGTATTCATTAAATACATCTGCAATACAAATGACAACAACAACAGACTATAACAAAGTAACAAAGAGTGTAGACAGCATGCTACACTCCAACAATAACAATCCGAAACCATAACATCAATTTTTCTTTCGCTTCAGCGCCTTCGACTTCTTCCACTTCCTTTTGCCTTTTTTGCTCGTTGTTGCTTCCTCTTCTTCGAAATCTTCTAAGAGAGCCGCAAACTAAACATAACGAGAATAAATTGCGGTCAACCGTGATGTCTAAATAGAGCACCTGTATTCAGCGTACGCTGAAAGAGAAAGGGGCAAAGGAAAAAGAATAAAATATTAGCTGCTAGTAGGCCACGTCCTGCCCAGGGG